AGTACACTGTAGCTGTCTTCAGACATCCCATAAGAGGGCATCCAATCTCATTACGGATGGTTGTGAGCCACCATGTGGTTGCTGGGATTTGAACTCAGGACCTCTGGAAGAGCAGTCAGTGCTCTTAACCGCTGAGCCATCTCTCCAGCCCAATAAATAAATCTTTAAAAAAAAAAAAAAGAAAAAGAAATTGGGGAATGGGGGTATCAGCTTTCTAATAAGCATGGACCCTTGATGGTGTTTGGTAGCACACACACAAGCATGCTCACAAATGCACACCCATACATGCAGCACACACACATTAAATAAATAAATGTTAAACTTAAAAAAAAAACAGGAATATAAATTGCTCCCTGGATTTGGCTGAGGATTGAGTTTCTATAAGCACGTTACCTGGGCTTTCCTTAGTATCTTTTTTTCTTTTTTGTCTTGCAGCAGCAACAGTGCAGTGTCCTGAAAAGGGAAGTTCAGATAGAAAGGCACTCGGAGCACCTGCTGTACTGAAGTTGCATACACAGTACTTGAATTACAGCGAGATCTAGGCTTTGTCATAAAAGTTGTATATTGCACATGAGATAAATGTTTTGTTTTGGCACAAGCTACTGTAGTAGTTTGTCTTATGTAGCCTTTTATTTTTATTTGTATCTGCTATGTGTGTGTATAAGTCCCTGTAGAGACCAGAAGAAGGCATCAGATCCTCTGGAGCTGGAGATACAGGCAGTTAGTTGTAAACTGAAAATCAAACTCTGGTCCCTCAGAGGAATAGCAGTCATTCTTAACCACTGAGCCATCTCTCCAGCCCCATTGGCTTTTTGTTTATAATGAATTTTCTGAAGGAGTGGTAACTGCTCAAGATATTAAATAGCCCATTTTTGCATGTAAGCATCTTTTTAAAAGCTTAAATTAAAAAACTTTTAAGTATGTCCACTGTATTAGGAGACTATAGAAAAACAACTTATAGAATGGAAAGATATATCTGTGTACATATACATGTATATGGGATTTATTAGAATGGTTTATCTGCTGTAGTCCATCTAGTCTGTCAATAGCAGTCTACCAACAGAATGTTCAAGAATCCAGTTGTAGTTCAGACCATGAGTCTGAATATCTTAGCCAGTCTTCAATATTCATCAGAATCTCAAAGAAGTAGGCTCTAATGTCGGTAAAGGAATAGACTTGCCAGTGAGACCAAGCAGGCAAAGAACAAAAACTTCCTTCTCTGTGCCCTTTATATAGGCTGCCAGCAGAAGGTGTGGCCCAGATTAAAGGTAGATCTTCCTATCTCAAAAGATCTGGAACTCAGGAGGCAGAAGCAGGGAGAGTACAAAGAAATGTATCTCTGTGAGTACAAAGCCAGCTCAGTCTAGATTGAGTTCAACCAGAGCTGCACAGAGAAAACCTGTCTAGACAAACAAGACAAAACAAACAAAAGATCTGGATTAAAAGTGGATTGTCTCATTTCAAATGAAAAAAAAAATCCCTCAAGGTATACCCAGCCACTTGGGTTTTAGTTAATTCCAGATGTAATCAAGTTGACAACCAAGAATAGCCATCACAGCCACATTATAGAAGACTTTGGAAGTAGGGAAGAATAGCTTGTAATTCACCATCAACATAAAAATTCTGAGTAAGTACAGAGGCTTTGCACCAGAAGCCTAGAAAAATAACTAATGAGACTAGAGAGATGGCTCAGTGGTTAAGAACACTGGCTACTTTTCCAAAGGTCAGAGGTTTAATTCCCAGCTCCCCCATAGCCACTAAAAACTATACAGTTCCATGAGATCCAGTGTCCTCTTCTGGCCTCCATGAAAACTGCATACACAGAATATATGGAAACAGATTACACATGAAATAAAAATAATAAAATCTTTAAATATAATTATTTTGGTTTGGTTTTCAAGACAAGGTTTCTCTGTGTAGCCCTGGAACTCACTCTCTAGACCAGGCTGGTCATGAACTCAAGAGATCTGCCTCTGTCTGTCTCCCAAGTGCTGGGACCACCACACCTGGCTCTATATATTTTTTAAAGAAATTTAGTTGAAAGCTCTTTTCTATCCCCCAATCTTAAGTATATATTCTATTAGCAACAAGTCTTTATTGCTCTGTAACAAGCTTTTGTTATCTGTTCCATTGTAACTGTGTGCTGAGACCAGCAGTGAATGAGTAATGACAGCATTAGGCTCTGTCTGCCTGCTCAGCAGTGCCCTGGTGCTTCCACACTCACCCAGGCAGTCCTGCACATCCCTGTGAGGTCCTTACAATGTCTTACAGTGAGAATCCAGCATACACAAGTTCTGCACCCTGTCCCAGTCACCCCGCTGTCACTGGCAAAGGTTGCAGACCCAAACTTCGGAATCTGTTTGTACATTATCAGCTAAAAGAGTGGGCAAATGGTGAATTCTTTTGTGACATTTTACACCTGTATGTAATATATTTTGATCAGATTCATACTCTATCAGCCCCTCTTTTCTCCCTTTCCATTCATTGAAAGAGATATCCCTAGTGACATGGATTTTGTAATCACATCTATTCAAGAAGCTGAGTTAGCAGGGTGGTCAGAAGCCCAAGGCCAACCTCAAGATTAAAAATGAAAAAAGTGGGAAGGGGAACATGGCTCTCCCTAGCACCACATATTCCAGGCAATTTGATGTGCACATCTAATCTCAGCTAGCTCAGGAAGTGGAGATGACCTTGAACTACTGACTCTCCTGCCTCCACCCCTCAGAGTCTGGGATTGCAGCTGTACACCACCACACCTAGCTTATTTGCTGTTTTAAAAGCTGTTCTGGCAGTGGAGACAGATGAATCCCCCCTCTGCTCCCTGAAAAAAGAACTATGGAAACAAAACTAATGTGGATTCTTCCTAGTTTGAACACCCATTCTTATGGCTTCACATTAAACTTTGACACCTGCCCTGTTTGTCACATTTTTCTCCTAACTCTACCAGAAAATCAGAGAGGTAAAAATTTCCAAATGCTTTCCCAGTCTCCTTTTTTGGTGTTCTGTACTGAATATGCTTGGCAAATGTCCATGTTGAGGAGCAGTGTCAGGAAATGAAGGGAAGCTGTAGTCACACTGGCTCTGGGTTATGAGATTGGCCTGTCACAGATTTGAAGAGCCTGTTATAAATAAGGTGGTCCTAGAAGAACCAAAGCTGTAAGGTCACACAAAGTGATGGGATACAGAGTATAGGGCAGGAAGTAACTGCATGCCAAGGCCTGAATGAAGCAAAGGAGCAAGCTGTGAAGTTTTGAGGTGTAGGGCAGTATTATTGCTCTTTATCTGCTATTCCCCAATGCCCTTTATCTGCCCTAGGCCCCAAATTCCACTGGTTGAGCCTAGGGTCTTTCTGTACTGTTAATGCAGTTTATATTCTTCGTGCCTCTAGGGGGCACTAGTTACAGGTGACTTGAATGTCTGGCTATCTTTGTGTAACAACTTTCCAGCAGGTGGCAGTAAAATCCATGAGGACACAGTAGCCTTTTTCAACTTGTGCAAATGTAGAAATCTGTTTATTTTCTTTCTCAGTAAAAATTTTTAGATTTATTAATTTTATTTATATAAGTGTTTGCCTATAAGTATGAATGTATGTGTACACATGTGTGTACCTGGTACGCATGGAGGCCAAAAGAGGTCTATAACTCCCTGGAACAGGGTTACAGACAGCTGTGACCCAATCTGTGAATACTGGGAACTAAACTCAGGTCTTCTGGAGCTGCTGAGCCATCTCTCCTGCCCCCTGTTGTTCACATAGGTAGTTTTTAAGAATATAGATTAGTTATTTTGTAGAATATTTCTGCAGTTGAGTTTGTCTAGTTATTTTCTCTTTTTAAAAAGGTACTTTGTGCTGGGCAGTGGTGTCACACGCCTTTAATCCCAGCACTTGGGAGGCAGAGGCAGGCGGATTTCTGAGTTCGAGGCCAGCCTGGTCTACAGAGTGAGTTCCAGGACAGCCAGGGCTATACAGAGAAACCCTGTCTCAAAAAACAAACAAACAAGAAAAGGGTACATGTTTGGGGCTAGAATTCCATAGAAGCAGAATTGTGTCCTTCTTGTATTTGTCATGTTCAGGGGCACATATCATCAGTTTGTTTGATTGTTTGGTGACATTAAACCTCTCTGCATTCTGTATTGAAACTACAGTTATAGGTATGTGAACTTGACATAGGTATGTGCCTGAACTCTTTTTTTCTTTTTTTTTTTCTTTTTTTGGTTTTTTCGAGATAGGGTTTCTCTGTGTAGTACTGGCTGTCCTGGAACTCGCTCTGTAGACCAGGCTGGCCTTGACTCAGAAATCCGCCTGCCTCTGCCTCCCAAGTGCTGGGATTAAAGGCGTATGCCACCACCGCCCAGCTGTGCCTAAACTCTTGACTGTACCAATTACCCTACTTAGTACTGGCCCTCTTAGGTAGGTGTCCTTCTGGTCAGTTTTCCTGTATAGTCTCAGTTGGATCATGTGCACCTGAGGGGCGCCCTGTTTTCTCCCTGATTTGCAAAACCACTACCTGGAACTCAGTTTCCCATCAGGAATCTTGAAACCTCTCCTTCCTAGTAAGTCACATAAGTTTGTTTCGTGTAGGTAATAATGCACTCTACCTGTATTGGACTTGAAACAGCTTTAGGGAGAAGGTGCCATTTTTGTCACTTTACAATGGAGAATGGCTTAGAAAGGTGAAAAGTAGCATAGGTAGAAATACCAAGACTCAAACTCTCATCTGTCCAACTCTAGAGGTCTTGTCCATTTTTATAAGGCCAGAATGCGCAATTTAGTAAGACCCTGTCTTAAGAATAAAAACAGTAAGATATGTGTCTCAAGCCTACAATCCCAGCTTATAGGAGATCAGGACTTCAAGATTGGGCTACAAAAAATAACCAATAATAACAAAACGAAAAATAAAGAGGTGCCAGGATACTAGGGAGATACATGGCTCAGTCAGTAAAGCACAGCACAGCCAGGGTGGTCCTGGGTTCTCTAACTTCTATTCCCTCTCTCTTGACAGTGCATGATCTGATTTTCTGGCGAGATGTGAAGAAGACTGGATTTGTCTTTGGCACTACACTGATCATGCTGCTCTCTCTGGCAGCTTTCAGTGTTATCAGTGTGGTCTCTTACCTCATCCTGGCTCTTCTCTCTGTCACCATCAGCTTCAGAGTCTACAAGTCTGTCATTCAAGCTGTGCAGAAGTCAGAAGAAGGACATCCATTCAAGTAAGTTTGCTGAGATTGCACATGTCTGAAGTTTAACAGCTGATAGATGGCAGAAGCAGTCCCTAAATACCTTGCAATCACTCTAAGAAATAATTAGGTTAGTATCTGAGAACTTTTAACTTAACTAGAGGCTAACACTTAGAGCTAATGAGAGCTATAAATCCAGAGCAGTGTACAAAATAGCTTGCCCAGGGCAACCCTCAGTCAGCCACTGTGTCATGTTTCAGCCCTATATAACAGCTAGAAACAGCTTTGAACTCCAGGTTCTAGAACCAGGAGTTTACTCTGTTTATTCCAAGTTTTATTTCTGATTTTCTTTAGCTCTAGTGCAGTTTCCCTGGGTCTGGGAGCAGTTATTTTTAACCTTTAAAATATTATTTATGTATATGGCTGTTTTGGCTGTATATATGTCTGTACAACATATGTGTGTGGTGCTCTTGCAGGCCAAAAGAGTGCATCTGGTACCCTGGAACTAGAGTACAGGTTATGAACTGCCCTGTGGTTGTTAGGAATTGAACTCAGACCTTCTGGAAGAACAACCAGTACTCTTAACTACTGAGCTATCTCTCCAGCCCTAATCTGGAGGCAAATTTTAATGCCTTTCTGGTTGTGCTGTGACTTTAACAAATGTTTCCTCGGGCTAGAGATATGACTAAGTGGTTAAGAACACCGACTGCTTTTCCAGAGGTCCTGAGTTCAATTCCTAGCAACCATATGGTAGCTCACAACCATCTGTCATAGGATCTGATGCCCTCTTCTGGTATGTCTGAATACAGCTACAGTGTACTCATATGAATAAAATCTTTAAAAAAAAAAATGCTTCCATATGTTTGTGCTGTTGAAATTCTTTGCACATAAAATTTGTATTTGAGCCTTAGCTTTTAAAAATCCTTTGTCTCAGAGAAAGAGCCCCTGCTGTGACCTCTAGAATAGCCACTAGCTCCCTTCTAGGGCTTGTATTTTCTGTTGATAAGAAATATTAAGTCAAATGTGCCCTTAAAATTATATTGTAAATTAATCTTAACCAGTAGTTGTTGACTGAGTAAGTACATTTTACAAGTTCAGATATCTTAATAGTGATCCCTCTTCTGTTTCATTTCTGTGAATTTATGAAATGTTTTTGCTAAATCATATTAATCCTAACATCTAGGGAGTTTTGTTTTGTTTTGTTTTGTTTTGTTTTGTTTTGTTTTGTTTTGT